AGCGACCTGGCAATCACAGTGTAGCCCCGCCCTAAAGCATACCCTGCTTTATGGTCTGTTTGACTCTAAATGGAGCATAATTTACTAAATGAACATCATGCTGTATTGAAGAAGACTTGAAACTAGAGATTGAGACCATAAACTCATGTTTGCAATGTTTACTGAGGTAATAAATCAAGAGAGAAGTAGAGTCATTTTCTCATAGACTTCTATACAACCAGAGGAGTCGCCCCCTGATGGCCAGTAGAGGGAATGCAAGTTTTAAGACATGAAGCATCGGCTTCACTCGTCAGAACCGGAGGTCGCCACCTGGCTTCAATGCATGAATGTCTCCTTTCCTGCAGAGTCCTAAATCTGGGCGCTTTAGAGGGGGCCGATGTTTCACGGGCTGGTTTCGCTCCAGAGTGTGTTTGGACTGTGTGAAACACGAAAGTTCATATCGCACAGCCGTAAATGCAAGTTCCCACATCATAATACTCGTAATGGATCGGCGTGCGGTGCTGATGAGCTGAGTAATTTTGACACAACAATGTGTGAAGAAAAAGCATACTTCCACGCAACAGATCAAAGGTTATTTAAGGGAAATCTGTAAATTTTGCTCAGTCTGGTCGCACTAACAACACTTCTGTTCCATGTGTGTGTGTGTGTCATAAGGTGACAAATAGCCGGGTGGGGACGTGATGGAAATAAAGTCTGGAGCTCAGAAGCTGGCTCAGCGCCTGCATATTTAGCAATTAGGGGCCGTAACACCTCGTGAGTGTAGAACAAGTTTGAGCTGGAGTGCCGTGACCTCAGAGCGTGATGAAACGGCAAATAAAAGCAAGGCGAGGCGTTGAGCTTTGTTCAGCTGGCTTTGTAACAAATCTAAATGAAATGCTAAAGCTCCTGTCATCTCATTGCTTTTATTCATTTTATTTTTTTTCTGGACACAATTTACGCTGTCAGTCAAATTGTGAAATTGCCTTCCTAGTGTCAAACATTGCAGCTCTCTCGCTGCACATTTAACAACGCAGCAAAGTAGAAATGATGTTAAGAGAGGGGGCGGTTTTCAGTTCCCTACCGCACATCACTCAGGTGATGTTTCAGGGGAAACACGTTTTGCATAAGGTTGGAAGGGCCGAGCGTTTGATTGAATGAGGTAGCTAAGCAAAATGCAGCTGCTCTCTCAAGAAATGTTAAGTATGAATTTCCACAAAATAAATGACAGTTACCAACATGTTGTGAACACACACATTAAAAACTAACACCTATAAAAGGTAACATATGTATGATATTAACAATTTGAAGAAGGTCAATTTATTTTGCATATATGCATATTTACATAACACAATATGTAGAATTCTAATATTTACTAAAATGTCAAGATTTAGACCTGAATTCATTAACAACACAACTATAAACCATTTTCAGCTGGAAAGGTAGTGGTTAGGGATTTTTTATATTCTCTAAATTTTGATTTGTTAATAAACTACATTCTAGCCTCACTGATTTTAAGGGTCCTCACACTAGGTTTTTTTAAATACATTTTTTATGAAGATCCCTATAATGATTAAATGTAATGTTAAGTTAAATATACCAAAAAAAACAACAACTTTGCTCTCTGGTGGACAAGCTAGGCTATGGAACGGTTTCTAAATGACCTCAACCTTCAGCATCTTTGTACCACAGTTTCTTGTTATTTAGCGGGAAACTCGTGTGTCGATTACAGATTACTGGTGAAGATCATCTGGCTAAACTGTTGACTTGATTTAAAACCTGGTCATCTGTGTTTCCGAGTTTCTTTCCCCCATCACAATCCAACAGTTATTTTTTGTGAGCAAAATGTTCTCATTACGGATCGACATGAAGAACAACTATGACAACAGAATCCAGCTCTCAGAATTTCAGCAGTTTGGTGGAATGTTTTGTTTTCTGTCCCTGCTGTTAGTAATAGTTTGCTTTTAAATTGAATGAACCAAGTTATGGAGCTGAAGTGCTGACCAGTTTCTTTGAGTCATGTGGCTGGACATTACACAGTGCGCTTGTATATGATCGTTGTTACCTGGCAGGTAGCCTTGTACCTATTTGACGTTGACATATCAGCCACTACAAGATGTTGTTGCAGCTTCTGGCCAGACTGAAAAAGTAAAGGAATTTTACAAAGTGCTTTTTTCCCCATTCGTCATCCTCCTTCACTGGCTAAGCACCTCAACTAATTGAAGCACTCAAATTGCTTTGTGTTGTTGATCAAAAAAAAAAGACGAACTGTTGGATGTTTGTAGAGCTTCTACAGTTGCGTGTCCTTGAGCGGCAAGGCACTAAGTGTCCACTCTCTCCTTTTGTCTTTGTGTCAAGTAAGATGATCTTTTTTTCTCCTTTGCTTCACTCGACCCAGTCAACTGTCATGAACACAAGAGCAAGCACAGATCTATCTTCACTATAGTGCTATCGAATATAAACGGCCTTGAAAAATCCCAAACTGCCTTCGTCATTTCTTTTTTCTCCGTTCGAGCACCACGAGCGGGGCAATCAGCGAGTATGATTTCCTTTAGCCTGGCAGGTTCTGACAGCTGACCTTTATCCATTAACAGTGGTGTATAAGCCCAGGGCCTGTGCCCTTCACTTGCCTCCTATTGAGCATGAGCAGAGCATGTTGTACACGTTACCCCCGAGTAACCCTCTAAACCGCAGGTGAAGCCCCATCACTCATACCGAGCAAAGTCAAGGCCGGCATTTCTCCTGGGTGCTGACGGCGGAACAAAAAGCTGATGCTTTGCTGTTCTTTGCAAAAAGTCTTCACTCGACAGGAGGATGTCAATATAGAGCATGCACCCAATCCACATCTGTTGCTCTACACCCATTGGTGAGGCGTTGGACGTTGTTTTGTTATTCAGCAAACATGTATCAGTAGGTCAATCTTAGAAATATCCATCCTGTCTTCATATGAAGCGATCCCACTTGGGGTCCGGAACCAGGGTTTTACAAACCCTTTTTCACTGCCTCCATTTGTAAGCAGTTATTGTTGAGCAGTGTTGCATGTGATTAGCAATTACCCCAGAATGTTGCCTAAGGCCTGAGCGCTTAGTGGATTTTGGGAAGACGAGGTCCCCAGACAAGTTTTTCTTTGGTAAATCATGACCAGTGCCAAGTGTCTATTCATTAGACTAATCACTGATCCAATCCCTTCCCTTTTAGGTAGGGGATGTCATTCAGTCAATGGGACCAGTCAGATAACTGTGAAAAACTGAGCCTATTAAAAGTAGACATTGGGAGTAAGGATTCAGAGTTAATTTCAGCATTTACTCTCCGGCTGTCTGGCAGTCTTCTTCATTGTGCAATTAAGCTCCAGGAAGTGAAAATAAAGAAAGTTACTAAGGAACCCAAAGAAGTTGACAAAGTGGTTTGATGTGTCAAGTGAGAATTATTGTGTTTTTTTATTTGTGATTTACTCTCACAGGCAGATCAACATGATGCATCATTGTGGGGCTTAAAAGAAAGACGTTTTGCTACAAAGACTAGTTGGGTGTCAGAGTGTCAGTGTTCTCACTCCAACATAACAAGGAAGCTGTTTTTAGACACAAAACGAAGTGGAGTTTTTCAGGATATGCCATTTGGCCAATAAGAAAAGGAGCAGCAGCTCTGTGCGCGACAGCTCAGACAGACTGATTACCAAAACTTGCCAGAACCCCCCCCCCCTCTCTCCTTTCTCCTCCTGGGTCTGTAAATTGGGGGAGTCACACAACTCAGGTTAACTGCAAATGTGCGCTCAAGTCTAAGGACCTTTTGAACCTTTTGTAGGGCTGTGTATTTCCTCTTTCTTTGTTTGCATTCACACTGCCTCTAAATGTGGCCTCATGTTGGAAAACTGCACAACATAATTCATCTTGTTTAAAGTTAGTCCGTCTTCTTGACAATATTCTTATCACGCCGGCATTTTTATAAAGATGTGAAAGACAATGATTTAAGAAAGCGAGCTAAAGAAATAAGAAATGGTGAAGAACTAAAAGTTGAAATAGAGGTTTGGTGACGTGGCTTCTCTCCAAGCCGCTGCAGCTGGCGAGCTAACTAGCACCATGCTAGCTAGCGGTGAACATGCCAGTGCTAATCAGCCCAACATTAGCCATGTGAGCTAGCTCATTTGCTAACCGTGCTAGCAAATAAGCTAGCTGTCACGAATACTGGTTTGAGAGGACACTAACAATAATAAAACATAGATTTTCCTTTGTATCTCTAAGTTGGACTAAAGACGGACTTTTAATTTAGTATATTTTTCTCAAAGTATTCTAAATGTATTGATACATATGAACCCGTACTGTGGATTGAACCGAATTGCGAGCTGACTGCATTGATGTAAAACGCTATGTATTGTGCTTGCATTAGCTTTAGGTGTGGACGCATTTATTGGATTCAGAGCTTTTTGGTTTGAGGTTCAAATCATTACTAAGCAAACAAGTCCTTCCTTTTCCAAAGTTATTTTCAGGCTAATGGTGGTTTATGTTCAGACAATCTGTCATACAGTATGAGGACCATCGATTTTCCACCCAAGACAACAAATAGTTGAAAAAAGAAAACCCTCATACATTGAGGTTTCCATGTCACAACAGTGTGAAAGTGAGCTAGTGTTTCACACATTGCGTCCTTCTCAAACCTGTCAGGATACCATCCATTGGCATGATACACGGCGGGAGCACCAAGCGCTTTCATAAGTTGCCATGGCCCGGATATTGACAGCAGTAGCTCCTTTCAAAACGCTCCTGCTGGAAAACTTCGTGGGCTTTAGCTGAGAAGATATTGCTTTGACAGAAATATGGCTCAAATTGCAGAGAAAAACCAACAACGACTACATCATTAACGATAAGAGATGAGTGCGTTTTCTCTAACCGCTTGAAGAGGATCATCTTTTGGATGGCTCTCATGGAGTAGAATTAAAAGGAGAGAAGCAAAAAGGACATCTCCAGTGAATTAAAAAAAGGCTTGACTATAATGAACACACGATTGAATCCCTGCCTTTCTGTTTGCAGGAGAATGCCTTTGCCTCGAAGGCTACATGAAGGACCCGGTCCACAAGCACCTCTGCATCCGCAGTGAGTGGGGGCCTAATCAGGGGTAAGTTATGGTAATCACCCCATGGTTTACGATTGTTCATTATCGGGCAGAGGAAATGTTGGGAGAGTCCTTTGCAAAGATGGAGTCCTCCCTACACGTCAAACAAGGCCATTCATTGGGTTGGCCAGATAAAGCCTAACGAACGGTGATGTCGCCAATAAATATTCTGAATCAGACAAAATCATTTGCTTAGTCATAAAATGATTTTAAAAAAGGTCAGACAGGAGTATACATTCACACATTACAGTCTCACAAATCACATATCACATATCACAAACCACACTGACGAAAGGAAATGTAGTGGAAGGCTCAAACATGTTTACCTCATGGTAATAAATACAGCCTCTTTCAATGTCAAATGATGGATGGTCGTCAGGTTTCTGTCTGCGAGACAGAGATCCTCATGATTGGTCCTGAAAAGCCAATTTTCTTGGGCCTCTATCTTCAAATATATGCCACACATATATGAGAAGTCTTTTTCAACACTGACTTAACATTTGAAAAACAAATAAATGATGTCATTAGTCTTTTTCCACAAGAGGTCGATAGCGGAAATGAAACTTTTTGCCTCTCTTGGGGATCTGGAGACCATCTTTCTAGCCTTTATTACTTCATGTCTTCAAGAAGAGATCTCTGGGTCTCCCTTTACTGGGTTCCAGTCAAAAACAGAAACATATTTGAAGATTCTTTCATTTGTTTTCGATCCATTTCATTGACTAGCAACATGATCTCAGTCCCTATTCTACACCCAGACCTCTCTGATCCTTGTCATTTATAAGTTTTATTACTAAACTTTTTTGAATGCTTCTTTTTACAAATACATTTGACTGAATTGAAATTTAGTTGAAGGTACTTTGGAAGTAATTAACAAACCTACTTATAGAACTTTCCTGCCTGGCTGACCATACTACATTGTTGGGATGTCACAATGCCAAAATTCTAAAAACTGTGACTGTACTCATTTTCATAGAATAGCATCGGTACTGTTAGGGATTGAGACTGACGCCGTCCCGCCGTCCAGGGGACCATAGAAACTGTGTTTGGGATAGGGGGCACACGCTAAGTCCTGGTTAACGTTAGCTCTTAGCTGTTAGACTTCAGTAAGCATCACAGTCCTGCTCGGAGCTAACAGCTAACATTAACGCGAGGTGCCATCTATTAAGATCAAGATGCGCTCAGGCCCTATTCAACACAAATAAGTATTGGGCGAAAGTAAATTCTGACGTTATCATAATGTGTTCAAATGAACTTGGTATTGAGTATCTGGTATTGTGACATTGCTGTGCTTTGTTCATTTATTTGAGAATAATTGAAGTGGTAATCCAGTGATTTGATACAGACTTGAGGAACCCACAAGAGACTGATTTTTAAAATAAATTTTGTATTAAAAACTGAAGCAGCAGAGGCTGAGAAATTTTAACTATTCGTATGGATTAAGCTCCAACAATCTGAGATCCTACAATTCCCATAATGCAATCAGTAGCATCCTTTCATTACATCTAATTTCTTTCAAATTCACAACTCCACTTTGAAACGCAGACTTTGCAGTTATGAATTTATTGTCTCCAAGCTAAACACAAGATATGACATCACTGTGACATCAACAGCGGTCGTTTCTTGCTGATTTGACAAAACTCTGTCAGAGCCACAGCTTTATTTTCATAGGCTGAGAAGTACTGGACTCCCCATGAAGAGTAATTCTGTCTTTCCGTCTAAAATTGGAGTGCCTCTAAACCAAAAAACACTTTAAGTCATTAGCCTAAAAAGACAGTCGTATGAGTTTTATCAAACAATAAATCACTCTTAGGCTGATGGTGAGTCAGTAAAGTTGTGGGAGCTTTATCCCGCTTTTTGGTCTGCTCATGTCTGGGTGCAAGGTCACTTCTTTTACATTACAATAATGATTTCAAGCGATCACTTGATATCGCTTGGCATTGAAAAATGCTGTTTCAGACCCCGTCCCAGGAAGCCATATAAACGCCTAATTGGGTTCACATCTGCTTGTTAGAAAGTCCTTGACATTTGGCTAACACCACCGACATAGTGCCAACCGCCGGGTGATCCCTCAGTGTGTGTGTGTGTGTGCGTGTGTGGTGGGGAGGGGGCTACTGCTCCAGAAAGTACTGCTCACGTCAGATAAACAGTGTTGAGCTATAGGACAGTTCCCTCTGTGGCCACACATACCATGGGATTACTACTGGATTATAATTGGATGACTTTTATTCAATTAGTTGTCTGTCAACCTTGTACTTCCAGTTCTGACCAGATTCGGGCTTTAAGAAAAGATACGAATTTATCAACTCTCAGAGAATATGTCATACTGTTGTTACCGTTGCATTTATTTCTTTTAAAATGTTATGACTTAGTTCTTGTTATAGTATTGTTATTAGTTAACTGTCAGCAATATTATTTCATATGAGTGTCAAGGCCCCCCTGGCTTCTCTTACAAAATGTCACTCAATAAGACACGTACCAACCAGGAAGATACTCAAAATGACTCAATGAGACGCAAAGCAACCACAAAAAGGCACAAATTGACCAAGAAGAGCCACAAAATGTTAACAAAGAGCCACAAAATGACCACAAAGAGACACAAAAAGACACAAAATGACCACAAAGAGACACAAAATGACCACAAAGAGACTTGCGTAGGACAGATGGAGGGGCCTTTTGCTTGTCGATGCCCAGGGATCCATTGTCTCATAATCCACCTCAGCTTCTTTTTGTGAAGAGAGAACAAAATACAGGCATGTAAAAAGAATAACATGAAAGTATAAGGAAACAAAACTGTAAAATAATAAAGGTAGTAGATATATCTGTCAATGCTATACAGGTCGTACTAATATATCAACTGATTGTGTCATACTGTTACCATGGCAGCTATCCCTTTTCAAATGTTTTGGGATTTGGAAATGTACACTATGAAAGTGATTATGAATTGAAAACTTCAAATGTTGAGGCAGCAAACAAATCATTTTTGTGACAAATTGAACGCAATATCAAAAAGTTAAATAAAAGTGTTAAATAACTGACTAAGTTCAACGCAAAATGAATCAATTTTGAAATTATACTTTGTCAAAGATTTTATTAATTAGTTCAAGTCATCATCACAACTTCATCATCATGATATATTTGTCCAAGGGGATGTTCCAGGTGTCATAGATTTGTCTCACGTCATTAAATTGTTACCATTTTGTACCAAACTGTAATTTAGATGACGGGTTGCAAATGACCCCGTAATTAGATTGATTCAAACACATCTTGCCGTGTAAGATTAGTGAATTACAATCGGAGGAGCATCATTACTGTCCATGACATCACCAGCGTGCCGTTTCCTCTTCACTTCCTCTGTAACCCATGCCACCACTGTGCATGCTTCTTTTTTCCTCTACATTTTTTGTGAGACATCTTAATTTCCTGTCAGCCCACCCAACTGTGCACCTCTGTATCTCGTTTCCCCTGGTGCTCTCCCTGTGTCAGAGTGTGACAGGGTGGGTGGGGGGGTGGGGGCACCCCCGGGGTGACTTCAATGTTTAATGACCACAGCCCGCGGTGCGGAAAGTGTCCCCGATGTTCTTTTTTGCTTACAGTGGTGCAGGAGATTGCTCGGAATGACATCGGGCCCCTGTCACTTCGCCTCCTCGCTCTCACTTCGCAAGACTGTTTAGTCCCCGAGCTGCCACTCCCCATTAATCTCCATCATTCTCCCTCTCTCACCCCTGCCTCTTGGCATTAGTCTCGTCCCCTGCCATGTCCCCCCCCCCTCTCTCTCTGTCTCTCTCTCTTTGTTTTTTTCCAACGTCTGCTCTCTCCATCACCCTCTGTGTCTCTCCTCCCATCCCCTCTCATCCCTCCCATCCCTCTCATCCCCTCCCATACCTCCCATCACCTCTCATGCCTCCTATCCCTTCCCCTGGTAAATAGGTGGGAGCCACAGTCACATTGGGTGTCAGCTGCTACCGAACACATTTCTCAATCAGCATGTTTACACAGAGCCTGCGTCGTAATGCTGCTTGTTATTGGTGGTGCTGTTGGGGGGGGGGGGGGGGGGGGGGGGGGGGGG